GACGTCGCGTCGAACTCGCATGCCGCAGCAGATGCATTCTCTCCCTCCCTTTCTCAACGCGTTTTCTTAATCTCCGTCTAGTTTTGATCTGGACACGTTTGTCCGCGTCGAATCGAAGACGATCGATTGTCTGCTCGCCGGAGACCGGAGATCGATCGTCTTCCTTCGCCACGTGAAAAGGACGCGAAGAGGCGTGGAGCTCGAGCCACCTCCTTCTTCTTCCGCTTTTTCTTCTTCTTTTTCTTCCTCTTCTCTTCCTCTCTTCTCCTTCTTCTTCTTCATCCTCCTGCCGTCTTCTCTCTTAACGATCGGTTATAAGGCTTTTTATCGCAAAACGATCGGTTCGACGAGATCCCGCCCCATGCTCCGTTTGCGAACGCGAATCCGAACCATCATCTAAGGCGCGTCCGTTCTAAACGCTTCGATCCGTCGCGCTTCGGATTCTAATATCGACAATACCGAGAGGGCGGAAGCGTGCGCGCGCGCGCGCGAGAAGAAACGTCCTTTGTTCCGTCCGCGGAAATTGTTCTCGGAGACGCGCGGAGACGAATAGCACCCTATATACCCACTTCTCTCTCTCTCTCTCTCTCTCTCTCTCTCTCCACGTGTATCGCCGACCGCGATGCTGAAGTGTCAATTTCCGTATAATTACGCGCGATCGTACGTGCGATCACTCGGTGGCCGGCTGCCCGAGAGTCGACCGACGAGTATCGATACCTCGGGATGAAAGAGGAGGTACGTGTTACGCGTCGTAAAACCGCCGCCCATCGTTTCCACCGGGAGCTTCCGTCGTACTATCCCGGCTCGATCCATTTCACGGTATCTCGCCCACTGTGATTCTCGGTTATTAGGGTGCGAACGCGCGATCGAACGTAAAAAAAGAGAAAAAAGACGAACGAACAAACGGACGGACGGACCACATATAGGTTGAGAGAGAGAGAGTTCGAAACACCGCGCGAATTCTGGTTTAACCCTTCGATCCAGATTCACCGAGAGATCGTCGATTCCGCCGCGCACGTCTTTGTCTAAATCGTAACGTCGCGTCAAGATTGTAAAAAAAAAAAAAGAAAGCGAAGGAGGAAAGAATATACAAGGGACGAACGCGAAAATCGCGAGGGAAAAACGAGAGAACGGAGAGTAAAGGACGATTCTAACTAAATCTAACAAGTCGAACGCGAGTGTTGTTCCGTTTCTTCTCTACCCTCTTCCTCTGTTGCTCGCGCTCATTTCGTTATCGTATCTCTCGCGCGTGTATCTCCCCCGAAATGATTCTTCCGCCGCGTGAGTAAAAGTCTATAATCTCCATCGTGCATGTGATTCGCATCGTTCCTCGAACGAGCGTGCCGTCGCGCGAGAAACGATGCCGTCCGTCGACATTTTTTTGCGGACGCCTACGATACGCATATACACATACATGCGCACACACATATATACATACATGTATGTATGTATGTATTATATATATATATATATATATTTATATGTATATATATTTATATCTTTTTTATATGTATTATCCACGATCTCTCTCTCTCTCTCTCTCTCTCTTTTTATCTCTCTCACACATACAGGCTCGCTTCGTTGAAGGAAAATAAACGACATATATTATATAGGTTATTTCGAAGAGGAGTGTATAAATCCTTTGTTATTGTTGTTGTTGTCATTCTCAAGTGATTCGCATTCTTTCCTTAGCGGAAATTAATCCGAGGTCTAATCGTCGAAACATCCAACAACGCTGCGAGTCAAACGATTATAACGAATAACGATACTCAACGAAATTTTCGCTAAGGAAGACTCGTTCGTTCAAGATCAAAAATATTGCCGCTAGTATATACTCTCATGGGTATATGTGTATTCATACATCCATGTGCAGGCATACATGTGTATATATATATCCATGCATATATATCGTATAACGAGCAGCACGTCCGTATCTTATCTCGCCGTTATTCTTCTGAATATTAACGAAGGCGAATTAATCGAAAATATTTTACTTTATTAAAGCGGATCCTCTCTCGCTCTCTCACACATACAAGCGCAAAATATAAAAAAAATATATATATATATTTACCAATATCAAATATACTTTATAACGATATCGATGATTCGAGGGAACGGCAGACGTCCTGCTCGGCTAATCGTCTTTTAGAGTCACGCCAGGATACAAACGAGAAGAGACATCACGGCATCATCGCGATCACCGAGAAGTACATACTATCCCCTCGAGTCGCCTTCATTCGTCTCTCTCCTGCCTGACTTTGATTTTCTTTTTTTTTTCTCAAGGGGTTGATAGTTGAGACCTGCGTTGACCCCGAGAAACCGCCCGTCCTCATGACACAGCCTCGACGCGCTCATTGACGGTCGTAAGAGCGACGATTCGACGCGACGTGGGTCTTCGTCGCGGTCGAAGGTCGGCTGTCATGAAGGAGGGACGCGATCGCGCGGCGGGGGTGTCTCGGCGGCGAACGGGAATCGGACATACACGCAACCGCAACCACTACCACCAACCGCAACACTTGCGTACGCAGCAGCGAGCGTACTCTACCTATATTTGTAATAAGCGTATTTCGGAAATTCGGCCAGGTGCTCTACACCACCTTGTATTCGTACGTTGTTCCCCCGTGTTTCGGCGGGCACACGACGCGCCCGCTCGCTGCCGCCTCGATTCCCGTACGGCCCGACGTAGGTCGACGTAGGTCGACGATTGATTGTAGCGCGAGAGGGGCTGCTACATCGAGACGCGTGATTCGGTTCCCACACGGCGGAAACATCGGCGCGGGTTCGCGAGAGAGGATGAATATGTTCACGAGAGAAAAGCAGAAGAAGGACGGTGGGAGTAAGAGGAAAAGGAGAACGGAAGAATCACCGTCGTCGTTGTAGCAGCTGTGGGGATGATATCGGTTGCGACTTTCTTTTGCGGAACGATATTGTCATGAGAGAGTTGTTGCGCGCTGTCCTCGCGATTAATCGATTCTCTGCCTCTTTTCCCTTCTCTCTTTCTCTCTCTCTCTCTCTCTTTCTTTCTACTATCCTTATCAGACGAGACACCTGCGGTCGTGAAAATCTCGAGCGACCGTGGGAGAGATGTAGTATTTGGTGCGGCCTCTTAATTACTTCTAGTTAGACACGGTGGAAACCTCGATCACGCTTCTCGCGCGCGCTGGTGCGCCGATTTATTGCAGATTCTTATTGTCCCACAGCCGTTCGAGATTTCCGCCCAGTGCGGAACAAGGGGGCTGGAGGTTGTGAGAAAGTCCTCCCCTTTCATAAACAGCGTCGCAGTTTGCGTCAGTCGCTTCGTACGACAATATCCGCCGAAGCACCTTTCCACGGTAGAAGCGTATGCGTTTTGCGTAAATGATTACTTTACATGTACAACGATAATTAGGTTTCCTTACGACTAACCCAGTTCTGTCGCGCCAAAGTATAACTCGTCGACTTAATATCTATTATGTAACCGTCGCGCGCCCTCCTCTCGTTCTCTCTCTCACACACACACACACACACACACACATACATACACATTTTCTCTCTATCTTTTCTAGTAAAGTTCTCGAAGAATAGAATACTCGATTATATTATTACCCACGACACGAGAAATAAATCAACAATCCGACATATCTCGATGCGTAACAAGACGGACTAGCCCACAAGAGAAAAAAATAATTATAAAAGATCGTGGAATCAATCTTTGAATCAACCGTGTGTTGAGAAACGCTCTAACGGAACAACAGACAGTTGTATCAAAAATTCTCTAACGTACGTAATATACGACGAAAATACCAGCGATTATATAACACTCGCGATTAATAACACGAACGGAGGACGACGCACACTGGGGAAGGAGGGACCCGTGTCACATGGGTCCGGTAGACGTAACGAAAATATATATCCTCTCTAGTACACGAAATTTCTTCCGTTTAAGATCCTTTCTAGTTTTGCTCGAAGTCGTAAGCGTTCGCGCTCGTGTATGCGTGCGCGCGCGCGAGCGAGCACGATGTCATGGCTTAGATGAGAAAGGTAACGTTACACATTTACAACACTACACAACTTGTCCCCCACCCTCGCACGCACGCTCGCGGAACGAAGATGAAGACGACAACGACTTCGTAACGATTCAACGTCCTAATTATACTCCGTAAAACTTATCGATTATAAGAAGGCAATTTAAATTTCGTCTCATTGCTGAGACTGTCTAAAACGATTCGAGAATCGAGATTTTTAACGTGACGATAATCGCCTGGACATTCATCGTCGCCGAGTCGATTGTTTTAAAAGGAAGGAAAAAAAATAAAAAAGAATGTGTAAACACGGATGAACTCCGTGGGCCGAGAAGGAAAAGATTGCGGAAGAGAACGACGGTTTTCTCTCTCTCTCTTTCTCTCTCTCTCTCTCTCTCTCTCTCTCTCTCTCTCTCTCTCCGTTGTTGCTTTTTCATTATTTGACTTAATACTAAGTTACCCGGATAAAAGTCGCGCGTGGTCCAGTCAGAGGCGGGATTTAATTGAACGGAAAATGAAGTTTTTACTTCGTTATCGATTGCCGATGCGTTCACTTAAAATATTCACTCGCCGCGCAAACGTATCTATCGATCTACTCAAAGGAGGACAGAAATATAAATTCCATTCTTTCAAAGTATACACACGAAGGCAATTAAAAATATAGGGCGCTTCATTATTAAAAAACAGATAATGTACGAAATGTGTAAAAAATATCGGATTGACGTAAGAACGAAAAATAACTGCACACAAATCTTTGGTGAACGGACGCAAAATAGAGAATGTATAATGTATGCATGTCCGGTGTAACGTTGTAATTGTACACATTCGACGGAAGAATATAAAAATATACATACAGGTCATTTCGATGCCCGTAACGCGAATTCTGCGCGCTGTACGCCGCGTTTGTCGAGAATATCGCTCCACCTCTCTCTCTCTCTCTCTCTCTCT